GATATCAATTACATTACTTATGTTGTCCAACCATTACCCTTGATTTGATGCCAAATTTCCCATCACCATAAACAGAAACTCACTACTTCCCAAACAATGGCCCCCTGATTCATTTTCAATAGTGTCTAATTCTCTCATGAAATTCTTTACCTTTGATCTGTTGTCTGATAAATCTAATAGTAGATCACTGATATTTCCTTTCCTTCATCTTTGCTCCAGTCTTTTGCATGCCAGCAAACTTTCAAATCGCTGCCGGCCATTGCATGTTAAGCACTGTTGAATATGGATGATGTGATCTTACTCCAGAGAGGATTCCTTCTTCCTTTTGCTAGGCAGATAGAGGAGGACTGAGGACCTCAATCCATTTTGGGACTGAGCTGACTGTAGGATTCACTACAGTTTTGATAAGGGTCACCCATCTCTGGTTCACCTCTGAACCTGGGCAAAGATGCTGAAAATTCCTCTCTGCTTTCCAGAGGTTTTCAGCTTGGCTTCTAAGCCCTGTGTTTTGTGCAGCTTTAACAGCTGAGTGCTTAACTACCGCATCAGGGCTCCTCCTCTATGCAGCTTTAGAACTCATCTGATATTTTGAGGGGAAACAAGGAAAGTGTGAGACACAATTCTTCACTCTCCCTTCTCACTGTGGACTTGGGCCTCAAGAATTCAACTTTATAATATTATGCGTCAGTAAAGATGTAGAGCATCTGGAACTCTCATATACTGCTAGTTGAACTGTAAGTCAGTACAATGATTTTTGAAAACTTTTTGGCAATATCCACTAGACCCAAACACAGGCCTCACTATGTACCAGCAGTTACACATGCCCACCAAAGACTTGTACAAGAAGCTCATAGAAGCTTTACTAACAGCTTGCCAAAATTGGAAGCAACACAGTGACCCTCAGTGGAAAAAGAAAAGTAAATTGTGATGTTTTCATGCAGTGGCATTCTATACAACAATAGAAAGTGAATGACAGCTACATCCAATAACATGGTTAAATCTTATGGACATTATATTTAGTAAAAGAAACAAGATACAAAAGTATTTAATGTATAATTCAATTTATATGAAATTAAATAACAGGCAATAGTAATTGAAGGTGAGAGAGGTTAGGATAGGAGTTATGATGGGAGGGGTCAGTGGTGACTTTACCAAACCAGACTCACTGCCATCGAGATGATTCCGATTCATAGCTACCCACATTGGGTTTCCAAAGCTTTATGTCTTTATGGAAGCATACTGTTTCATCTTTTTCTGCAGAATGGCTGGTGGGTTTGAACTACCAACCTTTTTGTAAGTAGCTAAATGTTTTAACCACTACACCACCAGAGCTCCTTTCAGTAGTGATATGGGGAGTAGAAATGGTCCATATTTGACATGTGTGATGATAACTTGGGAGTATGTACACATAAACATCATGGAGCTATAAAACCACAACTTGCACTTTGTTACATGTCAGTTGTAACTTTTAAATAAATGGAGTAACTTTATGGATGAAATACCATGTGCCACACAGTAGGGATACATTCACGTGCCAGTCTGCGACACCCACCCAGTGCAGACGCTCATGTGGGAAAGAAAATTAACTATCAGTTACAGTCTGGAACAGCCTTAGACACCTTCCTTCATCGTAAAGACTTGCTCTTGAGAGAGGCCATGCCCAAACTGTACGCTTGTGTTTTGTGATAGGCATCCTGCGTTTGTGAACTCAAGTGTAGTCACTCATAGGACACATGATATAAGGGGGTTGATGTGAAATTTATTAAACTCTGATGCTTTGGTGTCTGGGAAGTGGGCTTGTACTAGGTTTGTGTCTCTGACCACCTGTCTCTCCCTTTTCCCAGAGCCCATGGTGGTGTTTGCCAAGGAGCAGCCAGCACAGAGTGAGGTGCAGGCCGAGGCAGGGACCAGTGCCATGCTGAGCTGTGAGGTGGCCCAGGCCCACACGGAAGTTGCATGGTACAAGGATCAGAAGAAGCTGAGTGCAAGCCAGAAGATGCGCATGGAGGCCACAGGCTGTGGGCGGCGGCTCGTTGTGCAGCAGGCGAGCAAGGCAGATGCTGGGGAGTACACCTGTGAGGCCGGAGGCCAGAAGGTTTCCTTCCGCCTGAATGTCACAGGTGGGTGACCATTAGCTTTGGTTGAGGAAGGTGGTTGGACTGACTTATTGCCTGGATGGACCCTGGGGTCCTCTATCCTTCAACTTCATGTCTTCTTGTCTCCCATCCTCTCACCATCTCATATTCCTGCCTGTGGGTGGGAGGAAAAGAGACTTCTTGGAAGGTTGTGTACTAAAGGTAGAAGGGCTGTTCTTTCCTCAGGTGGTGTTTCCAGGCAAGAGTGGTTAGATACATGTTCCCAGAGCCTGTCCAGAATCCTTCTTGTCTTCTTTGGTTTCCAGGACTCTGGAGTGTCTGGTGCTTTGGGTCTGAGGTGGACCAGGTATCTCTCACCTGGGATAGGTGAATATCCTCTAGTTGGAAGGTCTGGCAGCTTGCACATGCCCTCATCAGGCACCATATAGGGCTTCTCATTAGCAAGAGGTGTTTGAATCCCATTAAGGCAGAGGAGGGGAGACTTTAGCCACCCAGTCATACTGGCATTATCTCAAGGCTGATCTTTGCATGATCACAGTTTGGTGCTCTGGCCACTGTTGCTTTCCTTTGATGTGGATGTGGAAGCCCTCTGTGCATACATGCACACAATCTAGATCCACATGTTGTTTTAAGTTCTGTGCAAAGTAAATGAAGAGTGGTGGATTGATAGACATACTCCTGTGATATTTATGGTTTTCTTTTTAAGCAAATTGCTTTCCTTTAATCTTCAGTTAGAACATTGTGTGTGAAATTTCCCTTGGGTTTTGACATGTATCTTTAGGAATGGAAAAGAATAAGTGGCTTCTGCCGCATCAACATGACTTGTTAATGATGAATTACTTTAGTAGCATTCCCTGACTGGCAACCAAAGCAAACTCACACCATTGCCATCAAGTTGTTGCCAACTCAGTGTCCCTATGACTCTGTCATAGGAAAGAGCTGAACTGCCTTACAGTGTTTCTAAGGTTATAAATCTTTATAAGAGCAGAGTGCCTCATTTTTCTTCCATGGAGCAGCTGGTGGTTTTGAACTGCTGACCTTTTGGTTAGCAGCCATATGGCTTAACCACTTTGCCACTCAAGCTCCTCTGACTGGTAAAACAGTATTTATTTCATTGCAGTCCCTTAAAGATCAGTATGTGTCTGTACCTCTGTACCAGGTTCATAGAGAAAGAACTCTGAGAATGAATTTGTTTTCCTATTTCCTCAGAAGGAAAGTTGGGCAATCTACTTCCATAGTGATACTACCTTGGAAACCCAAGGAGGGGTCACTATGATTTGGATCTGACTCCATGGCAGTGCGTTTTTTTTAACTTCAAATTGGGCTTGCATTCCCACATTCGACCAGGAGGGGTCATGACATAACACATTCAAATTGTATTGTTGTTGTTGTAATGTGCCGTCGAGTTGGACCTGAGTCCTAGCGACCCCTCCTTGGGTTTCCAAGACAGTATCACTACGGAAGTAGATTGCCCAACCTTCCTTCCGAGGAGTGGCTGGTGGGTTTGAACTGCCAGCCTTCTGGTTAGCAGTCAAGTGCCTT